TTGTGGGAAAATTCTACTACCAGTCCTTCATCACCTTACACGAAATAGGGTGAATACATCTCATAGTCTAGTGTGCCTTTTTGAGCGGCTTTCATGAGAACCCTCCACACTCCATGCGCTGGCGTTCTCATCCCCATTCACCATTGTGCTGGGAATTTTGATCAGATTCTGCCATATAGTTACGCATTCCTCCTTCCCTATGTTTTATCAGAGTCCCGCTCTTGCCCCATTGGATCAGTCTGCTATATCCCTGGTTCAAATATTCATTCGACCCCGCCACCCCACATGTGCTATTCGAGCTTTAATTGCCACATTCTGAGTCTGCTAACTAACTTGAAAGTAAAGACCCCGAGCAATTCTCACAGTCAGGAATCTGCTTCATGGACCACGTCTATGGTAAACAAGCCTACTTTTAGCCAACTAGCTCCAGTCTCCGCCGTGTCTATCCTGTTTCTATACGTAATACCAAGTCTATGTGATACTGCTTGCTTTGATTAGGTTTAATGTTAAACCACAACATTTGTGGTTTGGCACACAAGAGACAAGTGCATAAAAAGTCATAGACTTGGTATTACCGATAGAAACAGGATAGATACGGTAGTGCTATAGCTAGTAGACTAAAAATATACGTGCTTCATGGATCAAGTCTATGATAAAACAAGTCTAATGTTAGCCAACAAGCTCCAGTTTCGGCCACGTCTATCCTGTTTCTATCCTTACTACGAAGTCTATGACTTCCTATTTCCTAGTCTCTTATGTGCCAACCGACAAATGTCATGGTTCTACTTATTTTGGATAGGCTCACTAAAGACGTCTCCACTTGGCTTCTGATTGTTCCTTTCTCGTCCATATGCGATTTCCTTTCTTAAAATTAAGGATGTTACCTTGATCCCGGCGTCTTATTTTTGATGATTTTACTATTGCCTGGTCTTCTCCAAGTTTGTTTAGCAATATGCTAAGTTTTCGCTGATCCTTTCTTATTCAAGTCTCCTGTTCATTAGATTTCTATCGGTCATTATATCGATGGCCTCTTGGATCTTGCGTTTTCTCGTATTTTCAGCATATGCAGCCAGCGTTTAGTCGATTTCCAGTCGATTTCGTGTTCCGTTCATGCAATATGTTCCGCTATTTCGGATCTTTCCGTATCCATGTTTCAACAGAGTCTTTGATGTCACTTGGTTTGTCAGCCGATTTTTCTTCCTGTTTCACTGATTTACTTCTGCTCACAGTTGCCGCATTTGATGCGATATACTCCCGAGCAATGAAGTTTGTCCGACTTCTCGTGTTGCGTCGGCAGACTGGTGAAAAGTCTTTTCTTCTCCTTTGTTATCACCCTGATATTCTATTTCCTTAGTAACGGTCGCAATTGATGGCTCAGTTCTGATGAAGGCAGGCAAATTCACTTTTGGTTGTCATCCTGATTCCTGATCTGATTTTCATAAAATCCATGTTGAAATCGGCCCTTTATAACATCTACATTTTTTTTATAAATTCTCTGGTATGGCCTTCTCTGTGGTCGCAGTCTCCTTTTGCTGTATAGTGGTTGTTTGATCTTGTTTTTCCAACTTGGTTATATTGGGAGGAAGTCTTAGAAGAATGCACCTAGTCGTGAGTTCAGTGTATGCATGATAATTTTCAGTCGGACCGTGGACCGACGACTCAATACACTGGAAACTACTTGAGGCTATTGGATAGGTTTAGAGAGAAAGAAATAGGGGGGGCGACAATTACCACCAAGCTAGAGGAGGCTTGATTAGACTTAAATTTGGTTTTGACTCTCACGTTACCCTCCTTTAAATAACGATACATTCACGCAACACGTGTGCAATGGGACACAATCACATGCGATAATATTGCAAGATCAAAGGCATACGTGTTTTAGAGGAGGATGCTGTGTTTTGGTTTAAATTGGACTCATTTCACGCTTCATCTGTAGCTATTTCACATGTCATCCTAAGCAACTTAATTTAACTAATGAACAGATATAGAGGCAAAGCATAAGACATCCAACCAAAGGATGAGATACATAAGTGGACCAATTTGTAATATAAGAAGAAAGTAGGTCTAAAGCCGGCCACCTGACTCACATTCGTGTTTCAGGTGTTTTATCGTTGAGCATGGTGTCCTGCTCTGACGATGTCCATCACATGACCAACGAAAGCTCAGCAATGATTCATCTGGGTCACAAGGCGGTGGGCCGTAAACGTATTTGCACAAATCTACAACTACAGCTCCAAAGCAACCCCCCAAAACCGCCGGTGGAACCAACTTACGAATCCCTTCCACTTGCCTCTTCAGACGAAATGAAAGGAACTCCAACAGGACAATTGTAAGTCAATCCTGCCATTTGACTTTTTTGAATTCTTATTATCACTCAAGATTTCTGTGATATTAAGAGACAATATCAATCGAATTGAGTGAATGGGATTTTTCAGCAGGCCTCTTCATAAAGCATTCAAAAATTCTAGAGAATGATTGACAGAAAATCAACTAGGATCTCTGACTTTAAAATAAAACAAACAACAAAAAATTGGTTAGGTTTTGGATTATAAGACAG